CAGGAATACTTGAGAGCTGTGCTTTACAGAGTAACACACTGGCAAACAACACAATTGTCTCAAGAGAGATTAACCTTGTAAGCAAGTTATGCAGGTGATTCAAATCCAGTTAATCTCACAGAAAAAAATGTTAATTGCATTGGCAAAGACATTGCCTGTGATCACGCCACAGTTATATAATTAGGGATAAGCCCATTCAGAAGAACTCTAACCTAATTGATAAACAGTCAGCAAACAGCCCTGGAGATTTCTCTCCCAATTTTCAATATGTGGTCAGACATAAGGTGATACTGTGGAAAAACACAGTGACCTGGTTTTTGACATGCCTTAAAATTAAGCAGCCTTGTTGTTCAATAGATCAAGATTTTCATACATATTTATTTTAATTATACAGAGGCTCATAGGTACAATCTCTTTGGACATTAATAGGTACTGAGTGGGATCACTTATCAACTAACTAGATTGTTCAATTTTCATCTTACTTTCTGAAATTTCCAATTTTTCATTTATATGCAGATGACTTTGATACAAAAGAGGCAAACAAAGATACTTCTTTGTAATTTTTACAACCTGTGACTGAAAGGGGCTTAGTTTTCCTTTGGCTCTAGCCTCTACAAATTCAAGCCTTCTAAAAATATATTTTCCACTTACTTTGTAATACTCATTTTTTTGTCCAAGTTTCATATTTCCTGGAGAACAGCCTAATTAAGGAATTTGGCAAGAAATTCTTATAAAAGCTTTTCTTGGATTTGTGTATATATATATATATAATATTTGTGTATATATATATATATCATATATGTATTATAATATATTAGTCCAACCTACAGTTTTTAACATACTGTTTTCTGTAGGCAGTGATGAAAATTGCAAAGCAGAAGGTGAGTTTATAATTAACATAAAACAATAGGAATACTGAATAATATAATTTAGAGATATTTACAGGAGAGGGTGCTATGGATATTCTTAGACTAATGCTTTAAAACTTGTGAGCAAACACCAGTGAATCAGTAAATTTTCTTTCCTTTGTTGGAAGGCATAACCAAAGATAGTCTGGTGTAAAACCCACTTTGATGTATCATGTGAATCCAAGTGACTTCTATCTCAGTTATCTTGGCATCCATCTTTTTTCCTATCAACTGAATTACACTTTGTACTATGTGCCAATATCAGGTTTCCAAAACTCCTGTACCAGATACTCTCCCATGGTTATCCAGTTGCTAAGCAACTGGACTCTGCTTGAGGGCAGAAGGAAAGAGAGAAGGATCATCCTGAAGTTCTCCATCCTGCTGCGCTCATCAGAACAGCAGCAGGGGATCCTGCATCTTGCTTCTTCTTGAAATTATAAGTCAGGTGCTTCCCTTATAACACAATGGGACTTAGAACACGTATGATAACCAAAAACTCCTTAAGGGTCCTGTCCCTGTCTCCTGGAGGAAGAGACTATGTAGCTTTGTGCCACATCTGATGTAAAATTTGCTCCTCAGATTGATTGTGTGTTGTGGAATTGTGCTTGATACATGTTAAATGAAGCACACAAAATCTTTGCCTGAAAAAAACAAGGTATTTTAGTAGAACTGGTCTAGTGTGCTGTCTTGCTATTTATTTTATACTCAGCACAATGTCATGATAATAGACAGCTTTACTCTTCCAATGACTTAGTAGATTTTCAATGTATAAATTTGCCATGATTCATTCAAAAAGTTCCTCATGTTTCAATACCACTAACATTGCCAAAATTCTATGTATTTCTTGTTTTTGTTGCAGTTACCAATTAGCAAAGTTATTGTTCTGTATTTTTATGAATTGCAAAGTATAAACAGGTATAAACAGGTAAATTTTGGGGGGGTTCTTCAAATTTCATATTTTTTCTTACTGATTATTAATATTGCCAAGTTCCTCTTGTTCCTAACTTCAATGAACATGACTTTTGCATCTTAATTTTTAAAATGACACTTAATTTATGATAAAAATTTTATCCAATCTTCAGATGTGTCTTTTGATTCCTTCTTTAAATTTTTTATATGTAAGAGTTACATCTACAGATACCATATTTTTTCTTTCCCTTTCAGGGACTTCCTTCATCTTATTAATTCAGAATTATTTTGACTTTAAGTAGCACAAACATTAACGGCTTGAGTATAAGAAGTTTATTTTTCTCATACTTACTATTTTATATACACTTACACAATGATACCCACATTTTACCTAGCAGTATGTTCAAAATTGTTAAATGGACTGTTGAAAATCTTTCTGGACTATTCTTTTTCACCTTGCATGTCTGATTGATTACTCAGTTTTGAATCTCTTTAGTGTATCCCCTTTCCTATATCCTGGGAATCACTGTCAATTTAAGCTGAAAGAATTTCTTATAACAACACTTTGACCTAATTGATTCATGTTCTTTGTTTGTTTTGGTACCAGGGATTGAATTTAGGGACACTTAACCACTGAGCCACATCCTCAGCCCTGTTTGTATTTTATTTAGAGACAGGGTGTAACTGAGTTGCTTAGCACCTTGTTTTTGCTGAGACTGCTGTTGAATTCTCAATCCTCCTGCCTCAGACTCCCAAGCCACTGGGATTACCTGGGGGCACCATGTTCTCTTGTATTTCATCTTTCTCAGATGTACTAACATGGTCTTTCATATGCTTATTACAAATAAGCATATGAAATCCTAACTGCTCTCCATCATCCTGAGGGTAGAGCTTAACACTCTTTATCATGGCACACAGGCCCTTCATAGTCTTGCTACTTACTATCTGGCTAGCTTCATCTCCTACCACTTTCCCAGGGAAACCAAGCTGCTGGCTGTTTCCCAGCCCCCAATCCTGAAGCCTGGCTTAGACTAATATGTGGTAGATGAATGAGTGGTTAAGAAAAGACTTATCTAGCTTGTCCATCCTATGCCAGGTATAATACAGTATTTCTTTTAACCCCAGATGGGGCAGCAGGGGTCTTCTAAATTATTTTTCAATCTCAATCAACAGTGGTAGAGGTTTAGTCCTCTTTAGCCGATTTTAGATAAATGCGACTAATAGCTCCATTGGATGGCAGCAAAAAAGTTAATCCCAATTCTTAGGCTGATGATACATTTGTACTATTAATATTTGCAACACCCATAAGTATACATCAATCCTCTTGCCTATTTGCTTCCAGTAGCAGAAATAGTTCAATATCAAATATGCTATCCTTAAAATAGTGTGAACACAGTATCCTGAGTTCAAAAGGATAACACTAAATCATTACATGCAAAATGTACTTTTGTTCTGTGGTCAACAGGACATATTTTGCTATCGAAAATTGTTCAGATAATAATCTTGGCTATCTAAAATATTTAGGGATATTTAAACTTTCTCTAGTTTTATGGGTTATTTGTAAATTCAGCTCTAAAAAAAGTTTTCATGATAAATTCTTGTTTGTCTTGTTTTATGGCTTAGAATTGTGGGTTCTCGGAAGAAAGATAGTGGAATATATTCAGGTGTTTGTTTTGAAGAAAATATTGACTCCTACTGTCTAATTCTCCATGAGAGATACAACTGTGCTCCTTCTGAATGCCAGCGATAGTTGATTTGTCTTGCAACAAAATATTTCCCTTGCAACTTACATATTTGTTTTATAGATAGGATCTTGATTTAGTCAACAAACAAACATACTTCTATTCTATACTCCTAACATGTTATTTTGTATGATTTATTTTCTCCAAAGTTTTCCTGCTAAGTATGTTTTAGTTGTTGGGCCACTACATTCATAATTCTATACCAGGAGTTTGAACCTAGAGTCCTCAGTGGCTGAACATGGCCAGATGGCCAGATAAATTGTGTCAACTCCCTATGGATCTCATCTTTCTTTTCCTTGACTTAGTTTTCTTTCTACTTCAATAAGTAGCAATATTGGACTTGCCTATGATTTGGAGATGTGCTAATTTTTAAGTGTTAATTTTTTTAATATCAGACCATTTTCAAAAAATGAAGAAAATGGACAAGAAATAGAATTGTTTAAGGAAGCATGAAATTTTTTTTGTTGTTGTTTTGTATGTTTTTTTTTTTTTGGATGGTAAGATTCTTATGATTAGGAAATTATTTTCCACTTGTTTTATGTAGACTAGTGTTAAAATGCATTTTTTCAGTCCCAAGTATATATTAACTAACTAACTATGCAAAGGCAGAAACACTAAAGCAGAATATTGAATAAATAAGGAACACAAAAGTTAAATAAGGTAAAAAATATATATAAGTATCTGATTTAGGAGACCACTGGAGAAAACCTTAGAAAATTATGTATGACAGTTTGCAATAATTAAAAATGACAATATTTACATTAAAGAAAAAAAAATCAGGCACACAGCTTTCAATACATGCAGTTAAAATATTCACATATGTATTAAGTCCTTGTAAAGTAAAAGCTTAAGTGGAAAAAATTATATAAGACTCACATGCAAGAGCATAAGATTTTTTCCTGAAAGCATTCTTTATTTGTTTATTTTCATGTGGTGCAGAGGATCAAACCGAGTGCCTCACACATGCTAGGCAAGAGCTCTACCACTGAGCTGCAGCTTGAAGCATTCTTGATGGAGTATTAATATCTTTTTGATGTTTTCCCTCAATCTCAACTTATAGTTTTCTTACTGTAAGCCATGATAATAGATTACATTAATAATTTTTAAACTCACCTTCTTTCTATAGAATTTGGTGTTCTTAATATTTTGATAGGATTCACCTGATATGGCCCACACATTCAAAACAAAAAAAAAAAAATCAGTTTAATATTTTTTCCACAAGTTTGCATGGTCCTATATAGAAACCATAGTTATTCCTGTGCTTAAAAGTAATTCATTTTATTCAGTTATATTCAATTTGTAAGGCCTTATCAGACATAGTTGAGATACAGCATTCCATACCTATGTACAAAAGTAAACCATATGGTCCCTTTGCTCTTTTCATAATTACTTAAGTCATTCACATTTCATCTCACTTTATCTCTCTCTCTTTTTTTCCAAGAACGACCCACATTTCTCAGGAGGCCAATTAACCAGGTGGTGTTGGAAGAAGAGGCTGTAGAATTTCGCTGTCAGGTCCAGGGAGATCCTCAACCAACGGTGAGGTGGAAAAAGGATGATGCAGACTTGCCAAGAGGAAGGTAAAACCATTATGTGGATGGAAAATTGTTAGGTGATCAGAGAATAATTAGAGAAGAAAAAGACTTCCCCAATTTCCCACCAGATTTTCTCGCATTTTGGATATTTCCACACATGTGGTGTTTATATATGCAAGCTACATATTTGCTGTGTGCATATTAAAGTTCTTTAGGCTTTTGATATCACTCAATAAAAATCCACATTAGTACCTGATCCTAAACTCCATCTTTTATCCCAGGTAATAAGAATCCTAAGGTGTTTTCTTTCTCAGGAACCCTGTAGGTTTTCCATTCTCCTCTTTCTGAATCCTTGACCATCCATCCCACTTGTTCCTTTAACAATGGCCCTCCTTCCATGATGTTTCATCCACCCTTGAAATCCACTCTGTTTTTCTTTAATGCCCAAAGAATCTCTACCAAAGCTGAGTGTGGCCAACTTTAAGGGCCACAACACCAAAGAGGCAATAAGTAAAGGATACCACTTTCCACACAGAGGATTTCTCCTCAGGGACCTCCTGTCACTTTTTCCATTGCCATTGTTTCAAGGACTCATTCTCTCCATTTTTTCCCCCATTCTTCTTTTATCACACCCTAAAACGCAATCTCTCTCAATTATCTATATTATAAAATAAAGTCTATTATCTTTTATAAAAATAATTTGAACTTTTGTTTTTTAATTTATTTTAAATCTATGCCCTGGAAAAAATCATTTAAGATAGGCTAGAAAAAAAATCATTCAAGTGTTTGCATTTTTTTTTCCTATGCAATTGAGCAATTCTAGTTCTAAAATTTATTATGCTTTCCATCTTTCTGCACATGCTGAAACTCCAAGCATCACACCTACCACAATAATTGTCTCCAAAAAATTTTGCATCCCGTTTTCTGTCATTTTCTCTTAAAAAATTAGGTTTCATTCAACTGGTTAAAATTAAATGTGCATCTGCCAAAGTCACATACCCTTATGTGCATTCTCTAGCACTGCTGTAGATATACTGCTAAATTTGTACTTTTATTTCAAGTTTGAACTTTGTATGTCTCTAGGTATATGTTGCTCTACTTTCCAAAGTCACATCATCAACAACATTAACCTCAAATGGACCAAATGTTTTAAACAGTGAGAGTTTCTTTCAGGTCTGTAGGTATAAAGCACTTACTTTAAACTAATTCAGTTATTTTTTCTGTCTAAATAGAAGCTGTGTTTGTTTTTCTGGTTTATTTATTTATTTGTTTATCTTTGCCACTTTTCTTCCAGACATCTACCTTTAAAGAATTGTCATTAACAGTGGATGTTAGTGAATATGAAGCTCCTTGTGCCTTCCCAGTGAAGATAGCTAAAAAGCAAGGAGAATTTATAGAAACTGAGTAGTTATTATCTATTCTTTATAGATTGTCAAAAATTTTCTTCAAATTTAAGAGAACATATGGATAATTTTTAAATGTTAATGTAAGTTTAAGAGATTAATTATAGAATAAAATTTATCCTAGTATAGACAATGGTTAATTTTTAATTTCTGAGAGGATACAGCATTTTCCATATTAAAAATAACTTATAATTTTGGAATACTTTTGTAATTATGGGAACATGACAATGTTAATAGAGAGAGTTCCCATACACAGTGTATGCAGTTTCCCTTATTGCTGACATTCATGAATCATTTGTCATATCTAATTAACAAAGGTCTATATGCAATAATTTAATAAAGAAGGAATCTTACTTGGATTTTGTAGGTTTTTCCTTAATGCCCCCTTTTTACTCCAGAATTCAATCCAGGGATTTATTTGGGTGGGTGTCATAAAGTATTGCATTTAGTGTTCATGTTTGCCAGGTCTTCTTTAGTCTGTGACATGGTCTTAGTTTTTGTTTTTTGTTTTGGGACTTTTATGACCTTGGAAAACTTGAAGAGAGGTATAGATCAAATATACTACAGTGTTGTTTCCAAAACCTGTATTACCCCAATGTTTTCATATGATTTGACTGGGTTTATCAGCTTTTGGAAAAAAAATGCCACAGTGCTGAGATGTCCTTCTTATTGCATTGTATCAAGGGTACATGCTATCCAAAGACTTCTCATCTACAAGTCATTTGTGACAGGGCAATGGGTTAGCTTCCAGACAGGCTAAAGAAAGTGCCTGGAGACAGCATGGGACATCTGTGGTTTATTCGGAAAAGCTTACAAGAGATCAGGGATTGATCTAACCAGAATTCAGCAGTGACAGGCTGAGAGATATCACCTCTGTCCCTCAAGGTGCTTTGCAAATCAATTCCTGCTGATGGTGTTTTGTCCAGTGACAGCCTGCTGGGCAAATGACATGAATCCTTTCCTCGGTGCCCTCAGTTCCATGCCACTCTCCACTCAGAGAGGAGTTCTGTATGTAGAAGCTGTGATGTCATCAGCATTAGCTTGCTTATTTACCTTGTAAAACTAGCATCCCCGGTAATAACTGTACTGGTGTAAAGGCAAGAAAATAACATTCTTTCTTTTTTGATTTTGTTTTGTTTGAAGTTCCCCTAGGGATTCTTTTTATTCAAATTCTTATTTTATTGATTCTTCTTATACATAACAATAGAATTAATTTTGATAAAATTATAAAAGCATAGCCTATAACTTATCTAATTAGTACACCATTTTTGTGGTGGGTACAATGGTGGGACTCACTTAGGTATTTTCTATGTGTTCATAGGAAAATTATGTTATTACTCTACTAACTTTCTGCAGATACCACTAGTTTGCCCTAGTTCCCAGTGAACATAAGAAAAAGCTAGTGTCCTTCCAGATACATGTATTGGAACTCTCAGGCCCAGGCTTGCTTTCATTGTTGCCATAACTTGGCTAGATTTTGGGGAACAGAGAGGGAACATTCAGGGACATGATATTCTATGATCTTTACTTTGGGTTTGATAGAAAAGAAAATTACAGTTGATCTGGTCAGTTTTTACATTACACAAGGTGGAGTTAGGAAAGATTCAAAAGTAGATACTTAGAAGAGTATATTGTATCTTAAGTGTGTCTGTTTTTGAATGAAGGGAAAATAAAACTTGAGCCTAGTTAGATTTTCCCCAGTTGACTAGAGGAGCTCATTCATAAACCTTTTGTTGCTACACTATTCTCCAAATCTTGTCAAAAGTATTTACTTCAGATTACAGGTACTGCACATTAACTATACAATAGCATACAAGCTACATTTTCAGACTGTATGGTATCAGGCACCCCAAAGTCAAGGTTAAATTCTGAGAAATCTGATCTCCACTACCTTCCCTTGAAACATTTTCATAGTCTCAGTCTCCATTCATCCATACCTGGCATATTCATGTGACCGGCTAAATATTTTTAAAGTATTAGGCAAATGGAATTGCTGGGTAAGCTTTAAATTGTTATGTTACAAAGGCCTTAGAGCAGAATCCATGCAATACAGAAATTGAGGTCAGTATTTTTATCATGATAGAAGCCATTCACTTTTTCTGCAATTCCCCATCTTTAAATGATATTTCAAAGAAGATTATTCATTCTTGGATCGGTGTGTATTAGCATAAGCTTCTCTTATGTATAATGAGGGGGAAGAGATCTCTTTACTTAGAGAAGAATAACAGTAATGACTTTTAGCCCGCCATGAACTAAATCAACAACATTGATTCTATTACATTATTTAGGTCTCAGACAAGGAAGATGGCCATTGTTCTTGGATAAGCAATTGGTGTGGAGGATGACATTTCTTTGGCTTGCCATTTAATGAAATTTGAATAAGGTTTGTTTGGTGGTTCATGCTTAACACTTTGATAGTAAAGCTCTTTAGGGCATCTGCATAGCCTATAATTACAATGTAAGTAACAAGTGACTAGTTTTCTTTTGAAGACAAGAACAGCCTTTCAATTCAGGTTTAAGTTTATGAAATGCTGTGATAGCTATTTAAAGCTTTAACACTGAAGAAGATATCTGCACCAGTATTTCAGGAACCAGAGATGAATTCAGGGAGTATTTTTTCTTTGTGGTGAAAATATTTTTTTAAGTAGTACTATTATATGATTTTCTTTTATTTAGCCTTAAACTCCTTGCCTTTCTCATTAACTACCTTTAATAAAATTAAAACATATTTTTGATGAGATTGTTAAAAACATTTCTGACTGTAGTGTTTGGGGTAGGCAGGAAATATAGCAAGTTCAACAACAGCTGTTGTATGCAACTTGGGAGAAGTTACTTATATTTTCATAGAACAAAGGGATGAAATAGGAAGGAGGCTTTATATCATATATGCTATTATCAGAATAGTAAATCCTTGCAGTAATTTCTGAAGATATTACAATTACACAGTTGGATATTTCAGGAAGAAAAAAAAAGTGACTGGATTTTCATAACCATGCTAATTGTCAATAATTTTTTTAGGGGGGTCTTGATAAATATGTGTTAATATAAATCAAAACTATTTCATTTTATACACGGATATGAAAATAAAGTGAGTTGGGGGAACAATGGGAGAGAAGCACTTACAGTTTATGGTGATTACACTTTTTAAAAGCACAATTATTTTAAAGCACAGTTAACATAGAAGATGGACTTTTAGATTTACTTATTAATGGCCTCATGCATTTAAAATGCCCATTGTCAGAGAGTAAACATAAGTCATTTAAGCATCATAAAGGTATATTTTTGATTCATTGTTTTTCATTTTAGGTTAAGGACATTGGGCACTATGGGAAGGTATTTACATGTGGAGTTATTAAACAAAATTACATAACCCGAGGCCATTTATTCCTTGGGTACTGCATCTACCTTTCTCAGGCAACCCTGGACTGTTACTTACTCAGGCTCTTTTGATGATCAAATGACTTTAACACATCTTTTCATAGTGTTTTATGTGTTAGAGGTTGCCAGTGTTTATAATGAGGCAATGTTCCATCTTGTGCTATGTTCCATTATAGAGCAAATATGTTAATATTTTGTTGTATCACAAATATGCTCCATGAAAATAATTTATAATCAATATGAAGAAACAGAATATAATAAATT